TATATATATATATTGTGTGTGTGTGTGTGTGTGTGTGAGAGAGAGAGAGAGAGAGAGAGAGAGAGAGAGGAAAGCTTTCAGCTGCTTGGACCTTTGGGTGCCCAGAAAGTTTGGGACTGGAAAAAAATTATGATTAAATGGAGCAAAATTCTTACCGGAATGTTGCTGAGTGATTCTGTGATGCTTTTCTTATCATGTCCCACCACCACTCCAAAGATGGCAAAAGCCTGGCCTTGAACATTCTCACCAAATAAGTATCTGCATGGTTAAAAAGTCACAACAGAGAATAAAGATTCTCTAGAGAACCAGTATGGTACATTGCAGTGAAAAGGTTGCTCTTGAACCAAAGCAACCAAGGATGTCTCCAGGCGAGTATTTTTGTATGTGTGCAACGGCCCTGTCTTATTCACAGCATGTGACAGTGGGGTCAATCATCATTATCTTCCATTTCTTAGCCTCCTAATAAGGAGACACTGATTAACTGTACCATGCCTTTTGAGTGATAGCACTAGTTGGCCATCTGGAAACACTCTTAGGTAGGGCTGTGCAGTGCTTTGGGTTCGATTCCCAAGAAGTGCTTCAGAGTGCAGAGGACCACACATGGAGCGCCCATCTACGACTCTTCAAAACAGCTGCTGGGAAAAGGCACTGCTGCTTTCAAGAGGCACAGCTAGGTGCTGCATTTGCACCCCCAGTCAATTCCGAAATGCTGCCCACTCCTATTCTTAGGTTCAAATTCCTATAATTCGTTAGATGATATTGGCTGATGACAGTCCTACCATTGAGTTCAAAACCCTTAAATTCACCAGATGATGCTAGTTGATCTGCCATCTCTCAAACTGGTGTTATTCCCCAGGTTATAGAATTTATCAGCAAATTTTTAAAAATCAGTCCCATAAAATTATTATACTAATAGTGGGACACATTGTTGTTGTTCAGTTGTTAAGTCATGTCCAGCTCTTCGTGAGCCCATGAACCATATTGCGCCAGGCCTTCACTGCCTCCCTGAGTTTGCTCAGTTTCATGCTCATTGCTTCAGTGATGCTATCTAACCATCTCATCCTCT